AGGGAAAAATTTTGCCTTCAGGGAACCTACTTGTAATAATTCTTAGCCTGTTAAGAGATACCAATGGAAAGTTCTCCCACAAGGAATGTTAAATAGTCCCACCCTGTGCCAATATTTTGTTTAAAAACAATTGGAAACAATTAATGTACAGTTTCCACAATCTATAATTTACCATTATATAGGTGATATCTTATTAGCTGATTCAAAGGTAGATACTTTAGAAAAGATGTTTGAGGAAGTAAAAAGTTTTGCCTCACTGGGGATTACAAATTGCTCCTGAAAAAAATACAGAGGAGATTAATTACTTAGGATATAAAATAGGCCTACAAAAAATTAGACCCCAAAAGGTAAACATCTGGAGGGATCAATTGTGGACTATTAATGACTTTCAAAGATTGCTAGGAGACATTTCCAACTTACAGCTCACAACTGGGGCAAGTCCTGATGAACTGAATAATTTGCTCAATACCTTAGACAGGGACAAGGACTTAAATAGTACAAGAAAATCATCAACTGAAGCTGAGACAGAATTGGCTTTGGTGAAAAAGAAATTACAGAATGCACATGTGGATTGTGTGAATCCAGAGCTTAACTGCATTCTGGTTATATTATCTTCTAAGCAATCCCCTTAAGGGATTTTGATGCAGATGAAAGATATTATATTGGAATGGACATTGATACCACATAGACAGAATAAGAAATTAAAGACATATATGGAAAATATTTCTGACTTGATTTTAAAAGAAAAATTAAGACTTCATCAATTGACAGGAATGGACCCAGCAGAAATTATAATACCTTTTACTAACGAGGAAATTTCCTCTTTATGAAAAGATAATAAATATTGGCAAAGAGCTTACAATAATTTTTGGGGAGAGATTAATAACACTTATCCCAAAAGCAAGAGAATTAAATTAACAAAAAGAACCAGTTGGGTCCTTCCTCACATTGTATGGAGATCACCAATATCTGGAGTCCCTACATTCTTAACCATGCAAATAAATCAGGAAAGGCAGGATATAAATTAAAAAACTTAAACAAAATGTTTCAAAGCACTTACATTTTTGTACAAAAGTCAGAATTGTATACCATTCTTATGGTACTAATGGATGTCACAGAACCTCTCACTATAGTTACTGACTCAATATGCAAAAAGAGCTGTTTTGCACATTGAAACCATTGAATCTATTCCTGATAAAACAGAATTAACTTTGCTATTTATACAATTACAGGAAATAGTCAGGAATAGGGATCATTGTAGTTGGAAGTTTTTTTGTTTCCTAGCCAGTCAGTGGTCAGGACAAATCTCTCCCATTCACAACCCCAAGTAAACACACAGAGGTTTGTATTAATTATAACTGCATATATATATATATATATATATATATATATATATATATATATATATATATATATATATGGTGATATTTTATTTGTTGCTCTTATTGGTTGATAAATAAAATGCTGGTTGGCTAGTAGCCAGACAGAAAGTATAGGTGGGGCATATATATAATCATATTGGTCTGCCAGGTCCTCTAGCACAAGGTAATGATGAATTGATTGGTTATAAATAGAAAACATGTTGGAGGCTTCAGAATTTCATAAAAAACACCATGTCAATAGCAAAGGTTTAAAAAAGGATTCTCCATCACTTGGCAACAAGCCAAGGAAATTGTTAAAAATATGTCATACTTGTTCCTTCTATAACCAAACTTAAAGAAGGAAATGCCTATGAAGATACAAGAAGCCTATAGAACACCAAACAGACTAGACCTGCCCAAAAAAGTCCCCTCGCCACATAATAATCAAACAACTAAACGTACAGAATAAAGAAAGAATATGAAGAGCAGCAAAGGAAAAAGGCCAAGTGACTTATAAAGGCAGACCCATCAGAATAACACATGATTTCTTAATGGAGACTTTGAAAGCCAGAAGGACCTGGACAGATGTAATGCAGACACTAAGAGACCATGGATGCCAGCCTAGACTTCAAGCTCTACTATAGAGCTACAGTAATAAAAACAGCTTGGTACTGGCATAAAAACCAACATGTGGACCAATGGAATCAAACTGAAGACCCTGACATTAATCCGAACACCTATGGACATATAATTTTTGACAAAGAAGCCAAAAGTGCACAATGGAAAAAAGAAAGCATCTTCAACAAATGGTGCTGGCATAACTGGATATCAACGTGTAGAAGGCTGCAAATAGATCCATATCTGTCACCGTGCACAAAACTGAAGTCCAAGTGGATCAAAGACCTCAACATAAATCCAGCTACTCTGAACCTGATAGAAGAGAAAGTAGGAAGTAATCTTGAATGCATTGGCATAAGAGATCACTTCCTAAATAGAACACCAGTAGCACAGACACTGAGAGAAACAATCAATCAATGGGACCTCTTGAAACTGAGAAGCTTTTGTAGAGCAAAGAATACAGTCAACAAGGCAAAGCAACAGCCTACAGAATGGGAAAAGGTCTTCACCAACCCCACATCTGACAGAGGACTGATATCCAGAATATATAAGGAACTCAAGAAATTAGACATCAAAATGCCCAACAGTCCAATTAAGAAATGGGCTATAGAACTAAACAGAGAATTCTCAACAGAGGAAACTCAAATGGCCGAAAGACATTTAAGGAATTGCTCAACATCCCTAATCATCAGGGAAATGCAAATCAAAACAACTCTGAGATACCACCTTACGCCTGTCAGAATGGCTAAGATCAAAAACACTGAAGACACCTTATGCTGGAGAGGATGTGGAGCAAGGGGAACTCTCCTCCACTGCTGGTGGGAATGCAAGCTTGTACAACCACTTTGGAAATCAATATGGCGCTTTCTTAGAAAATTGGGAATCAATCTCCCCCAAGATCCAGCTATATCACTCTTGGGCATATACCTAATCATACCACAAGGGCACTTGCTCAGCTATGTTCATATCAGCATTGTTTGTAATAGCCAGAACCTGGAAACAACCTAGATGCCCTTCAACTGAAGAATGGATAAATAAAATGTGGTACATATACACAATGGAATACTACTCAGCAGAGAAAAACAATGACATCATGAGGTTTGCAGGCAAATGGATGGAACTAGAAAAAAATCATCCTGAGTGAGGTAACCCAGACTCAGAAAGACAAACATGGTATGCACTCACTCATAGGAGGATACCAGATGTAAAACAAAGATGACTAGACTGCTACTCACAACTCCAGGGAGGCTACCTAGAAAACAGGACCCCAAGAAAGACACAGGGATTGCCCAATGACAGAGAAATGGATGAGATCTACATGAACAACCTGGACGTGAGTGGGGGTAATGAAGGGTGAGGGTTGAGGGAAAGAGAGCTTAGGGGAGTGGGAGATCCCAACTGGATCAAGAACAGAGAGGGAGAACAAGGAATAAGATACCATGATAAATGAAGACCACATGAGAATAGGAAGAAGCAAAATGCTAGAGAGGCCCACAGAAATCCATAAAGATACTCCCACAATAGACTGCTGGCAATGGTCGAGAGACAGCCCGAACTGACCTACTCTGGTGATAGGATGGCCAAACACCCTAATTGTCGTGCTAGAAACCCCATCCAATGACTGAGGGAACCGGATGCAGAGATCCATGGCCAGGCCACAGGTGGAACTCCAGGAGTCCAATGGCGAGAAAGAGGAGGGTTTATATGAGCAAGAATTGTTGAGACCAAGGTTGGATAAAGCACAGGGACAAATAACCAAACGAATGGAAACACATGAACTGTGAACCAATAGTTGAGGAGCCCCCAACTACATCAGGCCCTCTGAATAAGTGAGACAGTTGATTACCTTGATCTGTCTGGGAGGCATCCAGGCAGTGGGATTGGGTCCTGTACTCAGTGCATGCATGAGTTGGCTGTTTGAAACCTGGGGCTTATGCAGGAATGCTTGGCTCAGCCTGGGAGGAGGGGACTGGACCTGCCTGGACTGAATCTACCAGGTTTATCTCAATCCTCAGGGGAGTCTTTGCCCTGGAGGAGATAGGAATGGGGGCTGGGCTGGGGGAAAGGGGAGGCAGGAGGGGGGAGAACAAGGAATCTGTGGCTGATATGTAAAATTAAATTAAATTTATAAAATACAAAAAAAAAATTTAAAAAATCCTTGTTTCTTTTGGGCTGTATAATCAGCCAGGTAAGAGAATGCATTAGCAGTAAACTTGAAAGTTTCCTGTATTTTCTGTTCTTTAGGGGGTAGTTTGTCTGTTTACAACATTAAACATCACCAGGGGTTCAGAGTTAGTTCCCTGTCTTGAGATGGACTCTTTTCTGTGTGTGAGGATTGTGAAGGTTCTTTGGTTTTTGCACAGAATTACCACATCTCATCTCAAGTCACCATCGTGGTTACTTTAATACCCTAAAGTCAACCTGAAATCCCCAAATATTGAAAGTGCTGAACAAAATCACTGGTGTTCACTATTCCAAATGCTATTTTTCCTTAAAAATTAGGTAAATAGGTTTTTTGATATATAATTTTAGAACTGTTTTGTTTTTTGGTCCAAAGACTCATAAGTAATCTTGGTCATATGGGTTGAATTTTTAACAAGAATGTCTGCTGTGTTTATAAACAGACAAAATAATCGACTGTCAAAGAAACTGCCCCGAGTTGTTTGAAGGCAACTGTTCATAGACTTACACTAATGATTACATCATTTCTCAGACTCTTCCAACTATAAAGTTTAGAATCCCTTGGGGCCCTTTCAGGTTTTCTCCAGGTCATTAATTTTCTTTCTTTAGATGAACAAATTGTTTACTTCACCCAATGATTTCTTACACCTTGAGTGGTTCACTTTTTGTAGGAATCACCCCAGTGTCAGCCTCTGTCCAAGTCCAGTGCAGCTTGGGGATTCTCTCAGTGTCTCCCAGCAACATGGGCCTTCCACACGCTGATTCTGATTCTTCTCTTCTGTACACAGAGTGAACCCATCGTTAAATGAAAGGAACCAGAGGAAGTTACTTCTCATAGCTATGTCTGCTCTGACCAGTGTACCTCAGGGAGGTAATTCAGGTACTTTCCTAACATTGAGGAGAAAAGCAATTTTAAAAAGTTACTTGTCTTTTAGTAAGTGATGATTGTACAATTAGATATGAAATCTTTGCAATCAACTTATTCATAATTTTTCAAAAATTTTGACATTTATTGAAAAATACTGTTATTTTGATTATGTGAGTAAAATGAAAAGTATTCATTTATTTAGGAGAAAATAAGACTTTATTTGGTAGGAAGGAATGCCAGAAATTAATTTCATAGAGAGGAATCAGTTTTAAAATGAAGAGAGCTGAACATTTTTGGTAACTTTGGAGTAGGTTGATTTCAGGATCATAAAATGCAAGAGAGTTACTTACCAAGGTCCCATTAGTGGAGCTAGAAGAGAGGCAAGTGAACCTCCTCAATATTTAAATAATGAGTTTAAATAGATACTAGAGAAGACAAGATTTCAAAGAGACTAAAGCCATAGGTATTGGCAGTTCCTCCTGATGAAATAACAGAGGGACTGCTGGGTCCACAGAGACAGAGGTTTTCTTATTCAAATACTTTGAGATCTGGAAAAGGTTTTCTTTAGTCGGGATAACCAGGAGAATACAAATGCCATGAAGTGCAAATTATAATGCAAAAAGTTCCTTTGGTCAGCATGGCAGTATGACTATAATTCCAGCACTCAAGAACCTAAGGCAGGAGACTGTTTTGAGTCACTGTGGTCTTCATTTGGAGACTTTGTCTCAAAAAACATCTTAGAATCTATTTCTAAAGTTCTTAATGGCTCAGATTATTGGACGACACTAAGCCCATCATCTGCTACAGCATTGAAAAATGTTATGCACTTATCTGGTCAGACTCTTGAGATTAATATGGTCATGTTTCTTACCTCATCTGGCTCGATGATGTTCCTTACATCTTCTGGCTTGATCATGAATAAGAAACAAATCAATACAAAGATGTTTCTGCCCCTTATACATTCTTAAGATGAGGTGGAGTTATTATGTTTTGATAAAGCTGTCTATACTTTCTGTAAACTCTGTGGTTGAAACAAATTCATCCCTGCCTGTTTTCTTCATGTTAAAGCTCTTCAAGAGTGTCCTTACTTCTCAGAGGCTGTCTGCCTTGTAGGGTATTTTAAAAGCTGCTCCATGTTAGAGACAACTTAAGGGATGAAAAGAAAGTTGGATCAAAATGTAAATGCTCACAGCTGGAGAAACTGGTAGGATGGTACCTGCTCTGAATCTTCAATAAAAAGACATAATTAATGAAAAATATAATAAATGAAAAGATGTTTGAATAGGAATATACAACAGAAACATAGATTTAATATTTATTGGGCTGATGGGCAAATATTATATAAGATCTTCACAAGATCTTTGTGTGGTTATAGAAAACAACTTTCATAGACTATGTTTGTGTTGGCAAGAAAATTACTGCCTAGAAAGAATGATGGGCATGAAGGTTAGTGTTCCACAAACTATCCTATCTTTTCTTTTAAGTGTTATTGAATCAAACCTTAGTCACTGAATTTCTCCTCTTGGGAGTGACAGACATACAAGAATTGAACCCTATTCTCTTTGCCATATTCCTTACCATGTACTTTGTCAATGTGGCTGGAAATGGAGCCATCCTGATGATTGTCATCTTGGATTCAAGACTCCACTCTCCTATGTATTTCTTCCTGGGAAACCTAGCATGTCTAGATGTCTGCTACTCTACTGTGACAGTGCCGAAGATGCTGGAGAACTTCCTCTCCACAAGCAAAGCAATTTCCTTTCTGGGATGCATAACACAGCTTCATTTATTCCACTTCCGGGGTAGCACAGAGGCCTTGCTGCTGACAGTAATGGCATTTGATCACTTCATGGCTATCTGCAAACCACTCCACTACCCTTTCATCATGAATCGTCAAGTGTGTATCCAGATGACTGTCACCATTTGGGCCATTCCTTTTCTTCATGTCCTGCTTCACTCCATAATGACATCTCGTTTGAGCTTTTGTGGTTCCAACCATATTCATCATTTCTTCTGTGATGTTAAGCCATTATTGAAGTTGGCCTGTGGTAACACTGAACTCAACAGGTGGCTGCTTAATTCTCTCACAGGTACCATTGCTATTGGCCTCTTCTTTTTGACACTTCTCTCCTATTTCTACATTATCACTCATCTGTTTCTCAAGACTCGTTCTTGCAGCATGCTCCACAAGGCACTGTCCACTTGTGCCCCTCACTTCATGGTTGCTATTATTTTCTATGCCCCGTTCTCTACATCTATATCAGTCCAGCTTCAGGGAGCTCTCTGGAAGAGGACAGGATCATTGCTGTCATGTATACTGTGGTTACTCCTGCACTCAATCCACTTATATATACTCTAAGGAACAAGGAAGAGAGAGGTGCTTTTAATAGAAAAATCAGAATACAGCTTTGACTTGAAGAAATATAGTAAATTCTTCTGAAATACAATCAATTAATGTAAACACTGAAGTGTGAAATTAGTTGATTCTGCAGTTGTTTATGACATATATGTATATATATATATATGTATATCTATAACAGAAATGACCAGGTAAAAGAATATATATATGAGAAAATATGGCTCAATTGTATTTAAAATCACAAACTATATAAAAACAGAAATTGGAACAAACCAGTTACTTAATGCTGAATTTGTTTGGGAGATAACAATTGATGAAAATGACTTGGTATCCTTTCATATATATTGTATATAAAATCAAGTGTGCAAATATATCTGTATTGCCTATGTCTTGAATAGATGGATATGAATAGGTTCACCATGCTATGCCTGTGCTTTATTACTGAACTATCTCCCTAGCCCTCTTTTCTGTGCTTTTCTCTCTCTTTTTTCCTTTTCTTTCTTTCTTTCTTTTCTTTTTTTTTTTTTGAGACAGGGTTTCACAAAAATTTCCAGGCTGGCCTGGAACTGACTGTGGCCTAGGAAGACTTTGAATATGCTGTTTTCCTGGTCAGCCTCTCAAGTTGATAGAGATACAGTCCTTGTCATTGGACCTATCTATGATCAAGAAAATTATAATTTTTGGAACTGGATGGGGCAAAGAAGAACAAAGTATAATGATATATGCATATGAAGAAATCACAATAAAACCATTACTTGTACACTCTAAAATATGATAACATTATAATGATTTTACATTTTGAAGATTTTAATGTAAAGACATTGCTGTTCAACTAGAAATATAAAGTTCAATTTGACATAGGAGTTAAGGGTTAATTTAAAAAGTATGTCCTAATTTCATATTTTTGAAATGGGAAGGCAATTAAGAATTGAGATAAGTGGCAGAGTTTCCTGAGAGGTGAATGTGGATTCAGATTTGAAATTTGAATTTTTTTAACTTAATTTATTTGAATTTCTGCAACTGTCCACCTGCCCTCAGTCCATTTTGGGTCATTTCTAAATATAAACCTGTCAATTTTAAATTTCTTCTTCAATTTTCATTATGCGTTGTGAGTTTTTGTCCTTAAAATTAATTTTTTTTTAATTTTAATTCTTAATTTTTTAATGTTTCATGACTTTAGAGAGTCTGTAGCTGGGCCACAAACCACATATAATGTGAAATTTGGGGATTTGTATTTCCTGGTGTTCTCCCACCAGCAATATCCACAGCCTCAGCCTCGCCTTGTCCATATCAGGCCAAAACATTTTTTAAAAAAAAGAAAAAGAAATTAAAAATTTCAAGTTACATCAAGAATTTTGGCATTCTATGGTGGAGATGTGTAAAGTGAAAAGTATTATTTCATACATGATGGCTGAGATTGTCTTATTTCTTCACAGAGAGAAATTCTAGAGTCTTATAGAGTTGTATGAAAAATATAGTGAATATCTATGAAAATGTGAAAAAAATGAGATTTTAAATGGAGAAAAATATTTTATTATTTTTTTTGTTTCTTGGGCTTCTATTGATGCAGGGTGCCAACAACCTGGAGATTTATAATGTTGCAGAATTCTAGGTTTCATTTCAATTTAATTTTTGCCTTAAGCGAGGGTAGAAGCTGTATGTGGCTGGACACATATGTATAAAGTTTTCAGCATCATTTTTAATAATAAAATATCATGGTATTTTCTATGTTGAAAAAGAAGAATTGAAATAGGTGACAGAGAGAACTGTAAATGGTAGATGTTAAGTAATTCTGGGCATATTCACAAATCTGAGGCAAAGCATCAAGTGTTAGCCCTCAGGAAGAGGTGGACATGGTACAAAGGCTTGGGAGCACAGAAGTGAACAGTAGGCAAATAGAGAGAGCAGAGAGCAAATAGATCCAGAAATGTTGAACTCAAGGTCTGTAAAAGAAACAACAGACCCCAACATAGGATGCTAATCAAAATGATGGGAAAGGGCACGTTTCTCTTCAAAAGTGGGATTTTAAGCAAAAGACAAAAGAAAAGCCTCTGTAGGTTCCACAGGTACACTCCGACACTTTAAAAACACAGTTAAAGATCTATTCGGCAAGAATATGCAATAGAGCAGGACGTTGGCCCTTCCTAGCTTGCTCACTGGTGTTATAGTGGTGTTCACTTTGAGAAGTCTCACAGTAAAAGCCTTTGCCCAGGGAGAGCAAAAGCCTCTATATTTTTACATCTCCAAGCTCCAAAGACCTCCAGAGGATTTTGGAGTCTCTACTCACTAAGTGATAGCTCTGAAAGTCAGTGTGAGCCCAGGAAACTGTCTGCAATGTGGCTTAGATTCACGGATAAATTCTATGTGGTTGGAAGTGCAGGCTATGCTGCAGAGGGAAGCTGAGGGTAGTCACATTTGGCAACAGTAGATCAACTTCTGGGAGGAGGAGAAAGAGCCGCTGTGAGGTACTATTTGTGTGGTGTGCAGGGTGATGACAGAGACAAGCACTGAGTGATTGTGAATTCCCTGCTGATGCCTATAAAACTTCTAAAGACTAACCTTCACAATCCATCCCTTGTAAACTTGACACAAGACACATCATTTATACCATAACATTCCACCCTAGCCCCTGAAATCTCACATTCATCATGCAAAAGCACCATTTTGGAGCCTTTGAGTTTCAAAAATGAGGTCACTGGCATGAATACATGATTTTCAGGCAATGGCACTGTTTTGAGAGGCTGTGGAAACTTTGGGAGGTAGAATGTAGCTTGAGAAAGTAAGTTTCTAGAGATGTGCCTTTGATAGTCACTCCAGTTCCCAGTCTCCCCCCTTTTTGCCTTCTGTGACCATGAGGAAAAAATTTCTTCCACCACTCTCCTACTGTCACAATATTTTGCCGAAATGACAGAATCAAGAAACTATGTCCTGAATCCTCTGAAACTGTGAACCAAATTAAATTCTTCTTCTTCTTCCTCCTCCTCCTCTTCCTCTTCCTCCTCCTCCTCTTCCTCTTCCTCCTCCTCCTCCTCCTCCTCCTCCTCCTCCTCCTCCTCCTCCTCCTCCTCCTCCTCCTTTAACCAGCTCAGGATACTAACTAACTTTCATTGACTCCAGGCTGAATAATTCCCCTAGGTTATCACAGACCCTGTTTAGCATCAGAGGAATAGATCTGTCTGGGGCATGGAAAGAAGAATCCTAAATCCACATGCCAGTGGAGAGGAGAGAACTAGAAAGTGGATTGGTTTAATATTTCCAGAATATTTGATGAACTGACAGATATAAGTAAATAAATGTGTAATATTCCTTTATACTATGTGACTATATGTTGCTGTGATTGGTTTAATAAAGAAGCTGACTAGCCAATAGCTGGACAGAGGTTAGGTGGGGCTGGCAGACAAAAACAGAGTGTGAAGAAGAAGAGGAGGAGTCTCGGGAGTCTCAAGGAGATGGAGAGGAATCAGGAGATGAACTTGCCATACTGAGAAAAAGTACCAAGCCACATGGCAGAGCATAGATAAGAAACATGGGTTAGTTTAGGTTGTAACACTTAGCTAGTAACAAGCTTGAGCTATTGGCTAAACATTTATAATTAATTATAAAAGTCTCTGTGTGCATATTTGGGAATTGGCTGGTGGGACAGAAAAGTCCATCTACTGTAAAGCAAAGGATAACCAGGCTACAATCAACAACCTCAGAGAAGCTAGGAAACAAGTAGGACCTTAAAAGAAACATACATGGATCCTCCCTAGGAAGGGGAAATAGATAAGATCTCTTAAGTAAACTGGGAGTGTGTGGGGTGAGGGGGAGAGGAAGAGGGGAGGGAAGACAGGAACAAGAGGGAACAGGATGGTCGGCTTGGGGGACGGACAGAGAGGGAGAGCAAGGAAAGAGATATCTTGAAAGAGGGAGCCACTATGGGGTTAAGGAGAAACATGATGCTAGGGAAAGTCTCAGGAATCCACAAGGATGACCCCAGCTAAGACTCCAAGCAATAGCAGAGAGGGTGTCTGAACTGGCCTTTCTCTGTAATCAGATCGATGACTACCTTAATTGTCATCATAGAACCTTCATCCAGTAACTGATGGAAGCAGATGCAGAGATCCACAGCCAAGCACTGGGCTGAACTCCTAGAGTCCAGTCAAAGAGAGGGAGGAGGGATTAAGTGAGCAAGGGGGTCAAGATCATGATGGGGAAACCCACAGAGACAGCTGACCCGAGCTAGTGGGAGTTCAAGGACTATGAACTGACAGCTAGGGAACCTGCATAGGACCGAACTAGGCCCTCTGAATGTGGGTGCCAGTTGTGTGGTTTGGGCAGTTTGGGGACTCCTAGCAGTGGGACTAGAATTTATCCCTTGTGTACAAACTGGCTTTTTGGAGCCCTTTCCCTATGGAGGGATACCTTGATCAGCCTCAATGCTGTAGGGAAGGGCTTGGTCCTGCCTCAATTTGATATGTCAGACTTTGTTGACTCCCATGGGAGGCCTTACCCTCTCTGAAGAGTGGATGGGGGTAGAGTCAGGGGAGCGGGAGGAAGGGAGGGAGGGGGAAATGTGGTTGGTATGTAAAATAAAAAAAACTTAAAAAGAAGAAAAAAGAAAAGTCCATCTACAATAAATAATAACTAAGCCTAAGTTATCTAAAGTGAATTATGCTGCCCTTCTCATGATTCATTCCTCATTTTATCTACACATAGAAAAGATGGAACTTCATTGACTTGTAGCACATCTAATTTAGACTGTCTAATTTATTACAGTTGTAAAAGCTTCTCTATCATGGCCAAACCTTGTCCATTCATAAAAGAATCATTCACAGATTCTGTTAAAATAACTTATCTTTCATGACCTGGACCAGAAGACCCATCTTAGGGATTGTTTCCTGAGGGTGAGGACCAGGGATGAGGAAAATAAAGAAGATAAGAAAGTTGAGGTTAAGAGATTTTTCATGAGCTGATGGATCAGGCCAAGTAAGTTTATGAAGAATTATAACATTTTATACTTGCAAGGTAAAAATGGGACAGAGTCAGAAGAAAGTCATCACATAATAAGATG